AACATGAATTAGTTCAAATTGCCCTGATTCATATCACGCACAGAAAGATGAAAGCAAAGAGAAAAAACAGTGGATAGAATGAAAGAAAAGGATGAAATCTATGCTATTCCTATGGCATTGAGATATAGTTTTTGTCTTGCTTGAAGATAATAATTAGTGAAGAATCTGAGGTCTTAACTGGTAAAGAAGTAGCTTATTTAGATTTAGTTCCCCTAATATAGTACTCATCTATACAGCCCAAGTAATGTTTTCTTTTTTCATTCATAATTATTGGCCATAGAACTCTGTTTATTTTGTTTAACTCCTTGAGTTAAAGTCATGCATCTGTGGTTTTGGTTTATACTGCATCTGTTATGATGTAGATAGGCTAGATAATATAACTGTTTCATACAAAGGTTTTAGTTACCAGCCTATTGTATACGCTTTAAATTGACCTGTAGGTTATATTGTATTCTTGTATTCATTCAAACGGTTCTTTACATTTAAGAGAATTATTTACGGTACGAAGAAGAACGGTAGCGGTACGGTATGATCTTGTTCATTTTGAGAAAAGGTACTGATCAAAACCGACAATTACACAGATTTAAGAGGGTTAAACTGTCAAAATCGCTCATAAGTTTGGCCATTTGCAGAACGCAGACTTAAATTGGGTTTAATCTGAAAACTTGGGAATACTGACCAGCTGTTTTGTTCTACCTCAAAACTCCTCAGCAGTGCGACTCATGACTCCACTGAATCTCTGTATATCGTTAATTGATTGAATTAAGAAATTACGGACGACTGAATGGTAAGACGCTCATCGTGAGGTCTGACAGATGTGAGCTCCATCCCCCAGGGTATTGTGGGTGCGTACTACCAAGCAGTAGCATACTGGGATGAAATAGCTCTCTAGTGCTTCTACATTTCCAGCAGTTCTTCAACTGGGGTCAGCCTGTGGTGAAAACTACTTTCAAGTGTTTCAGTGTTCATTAACATCTGGGCATATTGTTTGATGAGCCAATTGCAGTTCCAACTTTCCAGCTAGGTAACATTATTGCTATAAATAAAAGGTGAGAAAAGCTTGCAAAGTTTTAATCGTCAAGTTTATCGAAACACTCCTGGTGCATAATGGAACCATAGATCACTGTTACGGTCAGTTGCACAAACTTCAGTATGTAGACTGCATCAAAATAGATTTTAAAGAAATGAGCTGGTCGTGCTTGACTGCTGTCTTGGTGTGCGAAGCTAGCAGGAGCAAAACTGAGTCAAATGAAACTACATCAAAACATGGTACTGAAATTGTCATCCTAAACAAATTCCCGTACTCTAGTAGGTTGGATGTATTTGAATATCAGGCTAACAGTAAGTTTTTCAGTCTCTTCACAGTAAAGTGTGTAAGAGTGTCTATTAAAATAATCATAAACCAGAAAAATGGAAGCATAAACTGTTTGAAATTTCGAACAACTTCAAACTTCAAAGCACAGGATATTCGTAATTTCCCTCCATAAGCTTAATTTCTGTCAGTTTATTCCTGCAGATGACGAGTATAGTATTTTGAAACAGGTTTCTTCCACATAAGGTCACACCTATTCATTTAAGAGTTCCAAGACCGCAAATATTACAGAAACAAGCGCCGCTTCTGACGAATTTCCAAAGCCAGCATATGCCATCTATCTCAGTAATATCTATAAGTCTTGAACAAATTAAATAATTTGTGTGATAGACAATACCCACCAAAAATATCTGTGACTGCTTGAATTACTAAACCACGGGCTCTAACTAACTTAATGTATTTAAAATCCCAACTTCAATGTTTTATGCTGCATAGGAAATTAGACTGATCTGTGTGAACATGAGCTACTTGGCACTTAGCTCATCAACCTATTAACCACTGACGGTACGTTTCTATTTTTGTTATCATGTTAGTATAATGCAGTTATGCAGCTAAACCTTCTCCTGCCTAGAAGACTTATTCTTAGATAACCTACCATGGAAGGAAGAGTGACTGGACAGTGGTGGAATGACATAAGTTTCGGAGTGAATTCAAAATGCTGGTAAAAAGGAATGTGACAACACCAAGATGTTTCCAAGGTTGCGTTACGTCGAAACACTGGGGAGAGTAGATAGGAGAAGATAAGTTCTACAAACTGTACATTCCATATTGTTTTACGATTTGCCTTCACCAAGGTGCAAGGAACAAATATAATTGTATGGCATCTGATAAATTGAAAAAAGCTTCCGTGTAGCTCGCTGAAATCTGATACCATTTGGTCACTGTGGTCAAGTAAAAGTGATTCAATTTTTATTCTAGGTAAGCTATGGAGAAATCGACTTCATCGGTGTGAATATCCGGAAGTCATCAAGCCTTGTAGTACCTAAATAACATGTATAACACAGTATTACCTCTACTTTTCTAAAACTATTCTTCTAACTGCTAATCAGAGTTACTTATGTTTAAACTCTATATCAAAATACACTATCAGTCGTGGCGATCAAACTTCTGGTATTCCAACCTACGGACATTAACATAAGATTTAAGTGTGGTTATTTGATAGACTTCACTTAGCTAGAATGGGTAATTTTTAAACATTTTTGCATAGGTTCTATTCATTTCGGAGACTAGCAGTGGAATCCAGGGCACGCACTTCATCCTATTTAGTGCTCGTCAGTTGGGTATACCTGAACCCCAGTGAGTGATGTTGTTCCCAGTACCCACCACTTCAATCACCAAAGAGGTACATATTCATCTCATGAGCAACGGGTATCAGATGCTGTTTTGACACTTGTAATTTGCGGCTGTTATGCAGGCCCGAATTACTCGACCTCTGTATAGGTTTTGAGCCTTTAAGCGGTTACTGTCCGGGAACTCCATTAAGTGTCAGAGTAGCAACTGTACGGTTCGATTAGATCTTAGTTAGTTATTAGACAGAATAAGTCTGTAATAGCTTGGGAAGACTGTTACACACTGCGATTACCATCTATCATCACCTGCTTGACACTCACTAATTCCAGCTGGAGGGATCTAAAGTAAGAGATTTGATGGGGGCTGTGAGTTTAAACACATAAGCTCACACCTCTAGATGTATGCAACTACAAGGTATGAGTGAATAGGAAGAGCATTTTGTTAATATCTGCAGAACTGCAAACCGATGAATAAATAATGGTATTGTATCTAATATTCACCTGCTTTTGATTAATGCTAGCTTCAAACAGTTAATATGATAGTCATCAAAATTAACTTAACGATGAGTGCATAAAGACTTAGTAAGTATTCATCAATAATGGCGAGGATCAGTGGGAGATTTCACTCCTTTTGGATTACCAACTCGAACTGCAATTATGAGTTCATCTAACAACGAGTATAGGCTAGCCTGATGTGAGTCATATGGTATAGAAAGTCACTTAAATTAACCTAATCTTCCCAAATAACCATTGTTTTCTCCCAGTTACATTAAGATCCCTAGTATTCAGTTAAACATATCGCTCGAGGACAACAAGGTAAGAGTTATGCTTTCTTAATCCTTGAGATACCATGAAGCAGCCTTAAAAAGATGGATGTACCTAGAATGACAGAATATTTAGTTTTTGAAACAACTGTAAAAAATATATAGAAACTTGTCATAATTGAGATGATTTTAGACACTACATGAATCAGGTTCCTTCAGGTAGTAATGCTAAGAATCGTATTCTGTGCGTCTACGTTCAAAGATGCTACTTTATTTTCTATTAATGGTGCATAATAATGATTCTCAATTTACGAAATCCAAATTATTCTTTCTACGATCATTTACTTTACTCACACATTTATGCAGTATGTTCTTATTATTTTCTACCATAAATAGTCGTTTACCCAGTGACGGATTGAACTTCACTATTACAAGCTGCGGAGTTTACCTCAGATCAAGTAAAAATTAAGCGATAAGTGAAATTTGATGTTGTATGAACGTTAAGGGTTCAAAAAGCAGTGGGTAACTTAGTGTTTCTTATTAAATTTATAAACTGCACTTACAAAATAACGATAAATGATATTTATTGCTAACGATTCAGTTCAACAAAAAATTAAGTTATTCTCCAACCTTTTTTAAGCCTAGCAATACTCCAACTTCGAATGGTTACCAGGGTAGATAGTGATTCATTGAGCATTACATATCTCACATCTATCTCAATCAGTGAAGGTTCCAAGCATTAACTATTAACCTGTGTTCCTTTTCTGGCACTCTAAGTCTAACTTAAAATGACTCACTCTGTAATTATACCAAATATCAGCAATGCTATGAAAGAAATCAAAAACCTTTAACCTCATGTCATCCACATTCAGCGAAACCATTTCACAACCACAACGGAATGGAATACAGCACGATGCATACACTTTTCGTTGGGCAGTTAAATATCTCACCTGCAACTTAGACACCATAATATGGAAAACGTCATCCCATTCTTTTGTATCTGTGTATCAGGGGTGAGCCTTAAAAGGCCAACGGAAATCTTAGAAAAGTGAAGTGTTCCACACATTTGGTTTATTTACTCTGTATAGTTCACCTGCGTTTGAGTGTGAACCACTCCGGTTGCACCACCTTATGATTTACAGATTAAGCCAAAAATACTAAAATGTTTACTAGGAACTATCAGAACACTTTAAATTATGTCAGCTTTTTAAGTCTCAGTTTTCTGAAAGCTCTAGGCTGAGTAAATATTCTGTGGACAAGAGAATTAATGGGTAAAAGTAATAGGCAAGTGAACATATATGATGTACAAAACTGTTTACCATCAGCTTATATGATAATTTTTTGCAGGCTCTAACAAAACTTTCTGGGTTTGAGGAGAGACAGTAGTTCAAAACAGATCATTATGATCAGAACAGTAAATTGGTTGGTAATTGTATTAGAAGTAGACAGAATTCTGAGGTGGCCTTCAACAGCATATATACTCCTGTGTTTGGTAACAATAAGTGCAGCTGTTTTCATATTATTTGTATGAATGTTTTAAAAATTATCCTAGAAAACAACAACTTGAGGACTTACCAGTTTCGGCATCACAGGTCATGGAATGATTATTACAGGTACATAATATACAACGATCAGTAACTAGACCACCCGGTGGATCGCGCCTATATCCATCTGAGCAATATTCACATGATCTACCAATGTACTGGGGAGGGCATGTACATATTTCAGAACGAGGATCAGTTTGTGGCGTGCGCCAACCTGTTAGAAAACATATTTGATAAGTGACAGATTAAATACTTTATTTGAATAATGAGTTTTTTATCAGACATAAAAATGAAGATAACGTTAGAGCGTGTATTTCAAATGTTATATGCAATGAACTCATGTAGCTTAATGTTAGGTATTTAAAGCTATACAGTAGAAAGTCTTGCTGTATATAGGTTGAACAATTATTGCTACTCGTCAGTGAAGTGCATCTGCGATCCTGGTAAAAACTAATGTTTCTTCAAAGATTCAAACCATCATAACTAAGTGTCAAAGTCAGAAGACTGTTCCTAAGCTACTTTAGTTACGACACAATTATTGAAGGGAATTTTCTATTAGGTGGTAGCTGGTGTAGAATTTTAATCTCAAGTACTGATCAAAAACTGTTAGGTTAATAAACTTCAATCAACAAAGTGAGATCATTTTGATAAGGTTTCGTTCTCTGTATTGGATGATTCAATCACGGTAGTTTTGTTGTTGACTATTACCCAATCAAAACAACTAATATGGGTCAGAACTTTGATTTAGTGGAAAAAAACCTAGCAATAAGACGTTAACTATAATCAGGAAAGCATACGAGTACCATAATTCATAAAGACGAAAAACGAACTATGTACTGATGGAGAATATTTCTATCTCAGGAGGATGATTTTGCTGGCGTTGTGTTCTGTGAACTGAATTTTTTTTAGTTGTGAAGCTTTCATTGTCATTCTAGACAAAATCATCAGCACAAACCTCAGAAAGTAGTGCTGATGATGCTGTCTGGAATGACAATTAAAGCTTCACGATTGAAAAATCCAGCTGACAGAACACGACATTATTAAATGAATTACGTATTCAGTATATTTCATAAGGTTGACTGGAGAAGTGAGTACTCAGAATTTGGATACAGAGATTGGGTTTCAAAATCCCAATAGAGATGGCTTTCTAAATAACTACGGTGAAATAGCTACTCACTTGACAATTAGCATGATATTAACTGATTGACAGTTATCCTAACGCTAATCTGATTTCACTCATCTTCGTTTCATACGCATCACATTTATTTATGTAGCTTCCTCTATTATCACAATCAGTTGATGTTTTTAATCACGTTTGGGACCTTCTTAGGCATAAATAAACCAACTAAGCTTTCAACGGTTACGGCTTAAACAAAATAATGTCACGTAAGTGGTTTCATGTTTTCTGATCCACAAAAATGGGGTTGATGATTTGTGGTTTAATTATGGTCACGTGTATTTACAAATAACTTTTTGGATAAGCTACAAACCGGAAAGTGTTTCAGTCACTAAAGGTATTACACTGACTTCAGTTTAACAAAGATTGAGGTAATTCTCTTTTTGATAATTGTCTGAATCAGCAGACACTTATGAACCACTTTGTATGTTACAGGATGAGAAGTTGATGGCTGACTCAATCCATTCTTACTGACTAATCTGTCCATAGAAGTGATGCTTATTTTACTTTCAGCCCAAGTAATTTTCTCTTCAGTCTCTATAAAAAAAGACATACTCATCAGACTACTTCCTAGATTTTCCATTTTTCTTGATTTGTTTATCAAACATTATTTTTCCTATCTTCATCAAGCTAAGTGATTTCGCTTATTTGGGTTATCGAGAATCTGATGATTAAATTCCTCAGATATACTGTGATCAGTGTGTTCAGAAACTAATTGTATGAATTTTTGAACAAACAATATATATATATATATATATATATATATATATATATATATATTGAATCAGTTCAATCTACTGCATTCATGTCTTGATCACCAACTCTGTGTAGTTTAGGTGACCTCACAGTGTTAACTTTCACTGTGAATGATGCTTAGTCGTGCTGATATATGTATATTCTACTGATTGCTTGTCTTCTTCGCCTTATTGTTCCGTTAAGTGATGCATTTTGACTGCATTCAGCAGGAAATTGAACTTTTGAGCTTCTTGAAGCACCATTTCTGTTTTTCATTAGTACGATCATATCTTTAAGTGAATTAGTGTTTCCAATCGCTTTCATCCATTTCTACTAGTTTGAAGTTCGGTAAATAACTAGAACCTTCGAACTGTTATAATCTTCAAAGTCACAATTTTGAATATCTGTTAGTCATCAAGAAGAATAAATGTGTGCCATCAAAAGATTTGGTAGCATAAGATTACAGCTACATAAACTCATGATATATATACCAATGGAGTTAGAATTGACATCTTCCTTCATGTGCTTTCACTTTGATGCTAATGAAGTAGATGACTATGGCAAAGTTATTTTACCAGAATAAAAATAAAGTCTAATAATGTTTATTTAAAGTGACTACTGCATCAAGTTTCCATGTGTCTAATCAATACAGAATCATAAGCTTACCTGATGGACAATATGGACATTGGTTAGGATCCTTTTCACACAGACAAGACAGATAACCTTCTGTTGTACCATTGCATCCAATTTGAACGTGTTGACGATCTAGAAAAGAGATTGTAAATGAAATCACATTTCATTATATAGTGAGTTACATTGAAGATTTTTCACAAACACATTAACATTTATAATTCTAGAGAAACCAAGGAAAGGTGAGGATCATTTACTAAGTATTATGCGTTTTCTTGACCTTATGACTCACAGCGTACGACCAAAGAATGAGATATTTTTTTTATCTCATTTGATAATTACTGGAGATTTCCATATAAGTCGAGATATTACGAGAAATACAGCCTTCTAAAATTCAACCCCAACGTAACATTTACTTAACTAATATATATATATATATATATATATATATATATATATATATATATATATATATATATATATATATATATATATATCAGTTTATGAAATGAAAAGTTTAAGAACACTTGTTAGCCACTTATTAGCACAAGTCAGCTACTTGACATGAAAATAACAGTTTTATATCTTTCCAGATGGACTCATCAAATTCCAACCTAGACTGATGAAACACGGAGAGTCCAGCCTGTAGCTCATATAGCTGCTTACTCATTGATATACACATATACTACACAGATTAAACTCCGTTTTTGTCCCTTTAGTTATAGACAGCAAACTCATAACAATTTGTAATGCCAAAGTTCTGATTGCTGAAGAAAACTGTGGTAAAAACTGTAAATGATTTCTTGCCTATTGATTGTATAGCTTGTGGGGAGGAAAGTACATTCAGCTGACGAGTCCCAAATGAGATGAGACGCATATCCTGGATTCCACTGCTAGTCATTATTCATCATTACCACCAAGATTTTCCACCTAGTTATGTTCACATCTTGAATATTTTTATTTTAATGTCTTGCTTCTGCTCAAGGTATTATAAGTCCATTGAAACTGCCAAACAGGACCATAGTGGTTTCAAAGAACTGTTTGTCAGAGCCGAATCAGAGAGAAAATCTAATGAATTCAGCCTCAAAAAAGAAAAGTGATCACTCTACGCCTAATTTATTTCTCTCTTTGTCCAAGGCGCTGTTAATTGGTTTTGACGAACCATCTCTTAACTGATGAGCGATTTCAAATCAGTGACTGTGATCTACTAATCTAGACATTTCATTAATGAGTCAAGTATTATAGGCTCAAGTCGATCCTAACTAATTTGATCTGGTAAAACAACAGTACGGTAAATATTATGTCCAGAAATACAGCAACTTCCGTGACCGTCAACTTGAGTTTGTTCGAGTCATCAATTTGGTGTATCTAAACAACACAAGGCTATTCCATTTCAACCCCTCGAAATTCCAACCTTGGCTGCTGTTTTTGAATGTTACCATTGGAAACCATAAAATAAGTAACGTAATTTGAATTGGGATTATTGCTACGCTAGGAGTTAACAAGTTTCTTTGAGTTAGTTACTTATTGTTTTACGACTGCCTGTGTCAAAGGTTATATTTGTGTTATCAAGAGACTGATTTGGGCTGCGGTTATTCAGTGTTGTACGTTCATATCATATCACTTTCACGTAGGAAAAGAGATCAATGAAACCAGGTTTTGATTTTGTCAAGTTGCGGTAAACACGGTTTTGGATATTTTAACTGGTGCTGTAAAAAAAGGTGAGCATATTTGTTTGTACCTTTATCACATCGTAAGCTAAAAGAAAATTTGTCAGAGTTTCAAATTTTAATTGACTTTAAAGGTCACCCTAGTGACGACTGAAATAACCAATTCGACTTCTTTATTTCAGCTGCAAAGGTGAATTTCCGAAAATCAAGAGGTCTGATTAATTATTTTGGTAGTTTTTAGGGTAACTTTTCAGGGTCACTAAATTTTGTAGAGTTGAAAACGTTGGTTACCACTGGTTTTTTTGAAGTTCATTGTGCTGATAATCGAGTTATTACGATGGAGAAAATACTCATACTGGATTGATGCATCTATTCAATCCTTTCAACATCTCACTAACAACTAGGTACACGTTTGCCATTTTCAAATCATGATTACTATCAAAGTGAATTCATCCTCAGCAATTCACACTTCTTTCAGGAGCAACATCTTCGGAAAACAATATTACCCGTCTAACTTTGATAATAAAAACTTTTCATCTTCGACATTACTTCAAGAAATAACTAACATAAACCCATAGCTCTATTTTAGTTGATTTGTTACAGTTATATTACAGTGGAGTAGTATTGTTTCCTGGATTACCTTTCTGACATAGTTTATTGTCCACAGTCATATCAAGATGGCTATAAAACTTTGACTCATCCTTTGCATAGTTTGTGATATGGGTAGTACCTACAAACTCACTTATAAATAGGCTTTACAGGTTAAAAGATCCTACTGATCCAATTAGACAGAATAATTTAGTTTATCGAATCCCTTGCAATGATTTCGAGGTCAAATACGTAGGTCAAAGTAGTCTTCCAGGGTCAGTTAGGCTATGCGAGCACAAAAATCTGGCTAGGTCAAAATTGGTATAGCTTAGTAAGATAAGGAACTTAGAAGAAATCTCGGCATGCAATTACACAGATATACAATAGGACAAAGTTAAAATCCTTAAAACTAACATAGCATGGTGGAGGGCAAAATTGATGACTGAAACGTTGTTCAGCGAATCAACTCCTAATGCACACAACATGAATGACTGAACGTCTGTTCCAGATATATGGAAAATGCTACTACCCGTATCGCAAAGGAGGTAATGAAAAGAAGACTATGTAAAGGACGTCTCCAAGTTGTGTAGTCATCTTGAAATGGCTATGGACAATAAATTGTATCGACAACGTAGTCCAGTAAATAAAACTGTTCCACTATGTGACTCATCTAGTCAATCAACTAAATTAGGATTACAGTCTACCATAGGGTCCAAATTTTACGCTTATATTACAAGCCCATAGCCTAAACTGTATTCTACCTTGGTTTCTACATGTCGATCCAGCATGCAATATATCTTATAACATCTAACTTTTGTCCTTAAAAAGTGAATATCAAACCTAAGTAGTTTTATTTACTAGAATTAGTTCTGTCGACGTTAGGAGTTAAATTTTAGACGATGGATGAGAACTTGCTGATGAGGTTACAAATTTATATCAAATAAATTAATTACAATATTCTCTACTGATACTCAGTAAACTTCAAAAGCAGTCATGCCAAGCAGGCTAGACAGAGAAAACCTAGACATGATCTGACTAGAAATAAATGTTCATTTTTGAAGTGATTCACTGTCAACCTGAGCTACCTATAAGATTACAATTTCGTGTTTGAATTACTAGTGAGATCGGAAGTAGATGACGCTTGCACAGTTAACACTCCGACTCTGCATACTGAGTACCTTATGACGTAGTTATGCTGGTCAAATAAAAAACATTCTGATTTTATCAGCATTCGTTCAGAAATGATAACACTTTGGTGTTTGAACATGTCCACCTTGGGTTCGGGTACTAGCGGGGACAACACTCACTGGGAGGCGAATCCATTTGACCACTGTCGAACAGAACGATACGCGTGTCCTTGATTTCACTGCCAGCCACAACCCAGTTTATGTACGCTAGGTGATTGGAGTCGATATGTGGGAAGCCCTGAATGTAGATTTCATGCTTGTTAGGAGTCGTTAACAAGGCCTATTTGATACTTTGACAGAAATAATGCAGTTTATTTATCCACTCTCAAGTATGCAAGTGGGGCGATAAAGGAAGTAAGCGGTGAGATATCCGAGTCATAAGTGATCTCCTTGTATGACTACTAATCATGCCCTTTAAGTGAATTAATAGTTAACTTCACCCAATTACAGATTAGTGCTTTCGAGTAGGGCGTGATGATTTTAGTGGTTTGAAGTGGAATTCTTACAGCCCTGTTTCCCATTGTTGACAATAATACCTATTACTGAACAAACTTAAGGCTATAATTAAGTCTAGTCTGAAATACTTCTCACCATTCTGACCCACATTTCTGTGCTACTTAACCTATTTCATTTTTGCAGAGAGCATTAAAACATGATATTAGGAATTTATTGATCCCTTCAATATTTGTTATTTTACTAATAATGAGAAGTTGTAGAACACCTGGCTAGAACTGTGTTCATGATGCTTGGTATGACTTTAACTTGTAGCTGTGGATCTCTAAGCATAAGCACCATCTTTGTGAGTATAGATGAAACTCACTGTTCCGGAATACTTGCAACCTGTCATCGGTAAAACATACAATACAGCAAATCTTATCATTGTTAAGAAAACAAAACATGTTTATGCATAGTCTCCAACACAAGAGTGATGACTGAGTCATATCCTACTGTGTTTACCAGTTTTCATATGAGTGTATATGCATGTGAACACATACATAGGAAGAAGTATTTAGGCTATTTAGTTCAAGCCAGTGGAACATAAACCGAAATGGCTGCAAAAAAGATGAACTCAGATTCTCTGGTAAGTGCCTATGATAGTTGAAGTGGATCACAAAAGTGAGACAAGGATAGGTTCTAAGGTTGTGTACCCTAACTATCAGGAATTCCTATTAAAGCCCTGAGCATAAATGTAAGTCCTCTCGTCTATGTATTCAAAAACAGTTCATTATTACACTCAACTTACCTCGATAATCTTTATCGTGTTTTTATGCTGATGGTATAGTGAACAGATATTCTGTCTCATCTTAACAAAGATGGCTCTAGAGGTTATGGCGTATCGCTGTGTGTTGTCACAATATTCTCGAGAAAGAAAGGCGTGTTTTTGACTAAAAACTGTTACATAACTTTTAAAGTAACAGGTATTTTGGTGTGATGACATAATTAACAATGAAATCATTTAAAATTTAATCGCTTCATTTAAGTGAAATCGAAAAAGGATAAACTAAGCACGCCATGGTGACTGTTAGTTTTATCTTAGGTAAAAGTGTGGCGTTTTGAGTTATTCAACTTTGACACCTATAAGTTAGTGACTGGGCTGGTGTAGTGGGAAAAATGAATAAATTATCAGGACAAAGTCCTGACAGTTGATCACTTTCATCAATTGTTCTCTTCATGCGTTAATGATAATAACCAAACTCTGTAGTCAATATGTTTGCCCTTCGTTCATATTTGTTTTATTATTATATTTTCCGGGGTGATCTTTGCGTACAGCTTAATTTTGTGCTGATAAGGGAAATATCTCACCTCGGATGTTGATCTTGCTGTCAGTGAAACATTATAGGTGATAGTAAGCTTTACAAGCAACTGCATATCATCAAGTGAGCTATCTGAATATCCACCTGTGAGTGGGGAATCAACGAAACAATGCTCACACAATAGTTAATTATTCATTGGAGGTAAATAGCGAATGAAACTCCCTGGTATGTACTACCGGACCAACAAGTAAGCTTAAAGTAAGTTTAACTTAAACTTTAAGATAAACTTCATAACTTGTCTATCTTGTTATTTTGCGTTGAAATTTATGAGTGGCTGAATGTAGTTTCTCCGGGTGATGTGTTTAAAAATTTATCAAATTAGTTGATTTGCCACTGCATAAAATTCTTGATGGTTTTCTTTGACATAAATGTTTAGCGAATTTCACAGAAAGAGCTTATTCTGAGAATAAAATGACGAACTAGTTATCAATTTACTCACCTTTTTGTAAACATGCAGAACATGGTTTCTCATCTTCTGGACAATTGATAATTACTTGATCTGGTTTCACTAAACTTCCGAGTTCAATTGTTTCATCTAAGGAAGTAGTGGTGTGAAATGATTAACTCATTTGAACAGAATCTAAGTTTATAAATACATATGCGGAAAAAATAACTTGTTGATATGATTCTTTCAATGGAAATATCTTATGTAAAAAGAAGGTGAATATGAAAACTCAACTGGAAACTATTAACTGCAACTGTAATTTCTTTATACACTAAAAAATGAAAATTTTTGTAACCACTATTTTACCTGCTGTCAGTCGATAACAAAATTCACCGTCGTCCACAACCGAAAAAGAATAATACCATTTCCTAGAATCTCACTAGCTTGGTAACTGTCTAATAGAGGTACTCCTTTCAATTTACAAGTGGCTATCCGGGAAGAAAGGACAAGATTATTATTATTCATTTTTCCTTTGGGTTCCTAGTGGGACATAGGGCTTCAGTAACACGCCTCCATTCCCTCTCTCCTCTGCAGTCTTTTGAACCTGGTGCCATGACTGCCAACAACCTGTCATTTCTTCCTCACATGATCTCCTCTACGTCACCCTCAGCTGCGGTGCCCAACTAGTCGTTCCTTCTTTGGATTCCACTTGAGAGTCTGGTGCGGGATGTCCCCAGTCGGCCTTCTCAGTGTATGCTCAATCCAGTCCATCTTCGATTTCTGCTGCATATTTGTTAGGTGATAGGTTCTCGGTTGGTTCGTTGACAGCCGGCCAGCCAGGCAGCCAGAGTTCCTTGTTGTTTATTCTTATTATTCTGGCCATCTGATCTTGAGTATCGAGCGTAGGTGGCATCTGTTGATGAATGTCTGTAGTTTGTTGGAAATGGTCTTCATGATGCGCCAAGTTTCAGAAGCATATAGAAACACTGACTTGAAATTGGTATTGAAAATCGGGATCCTGTTCTTTGTGCTGAGTGGGAGTTTTACAAGGTAGCCCTTCTTTCAATCTGCAGTTACCTTTCCTTCATTCCAAACCTTCCGCAGTAGTGGTGTGAGGATGTCTGCCGCTGTTGTCTCTACGTCTGTTTTCAGTGCTTCTGGTGGAATTCCATCTGGTCCTGCTGCTTTACCGAATTTCAACAACTTTATAGCATTCAGGACTCCTGCTTTTGGCGGAAGGCCTGTGTTCACTTGTAGTTCTGCTGTTGCTGGTGGTATTTTCGGGTGAGTTGCAGGTGATGGTGGTCGATTCAAGAGTTTTTTGAAGTGGTCAGCCCATTGTTTTCTTTGTTTCTGCTCTTTGGTAACTAGGTTTTCTTCACTATCTTTCATTGGTTTCGTCTGTGTTGATCTTTTCCAATATAGTAATCTGGTTATTTGATGTAGTGTTGTCAGCTCTCCTATCAGCAGCCTATTCTGCTTCACTTGACAATGTATCATAGTAGTGTCTTTTGTCTTTGCGTGCACTCTTCTTCACTTCTTTGTCCAGTGTAGTGTTTTATAGGTTGTACTCAGTTCCTCTTCTCGTTGTTCATCCTTGCACTAGTTCATCTTCTGCTTCACCATCTTCCTCTCCTTCATCTATCAGCTCCCATGTGTCCGTCGAGATCCATTTCTTGTCTTGTTTCCTCTTTCTTCCTAATATGGTGTAATATTGTCAAATTATAAGATGAAGCTTTTTAAAATAAGAATATCATTTGTACAGTATCCTTCCAAACGAATATTATAAATTTCCTGGCTTCAAAAATGGGTTTGCATATCAAAGTGAAACGACTCATCCGAAAGGGATTAATCACTTAATTCAGTCTTATAAACAGATGTTCTGTTCGAAAAAGATACTCAAATTAATCAAAATAAATTCAGTTGCAGTTGCTCTATTTTACTTTATTTTTCTTCCCATTATATGACCAATGGGTCCAATACACATTTTATACAATTATGTTTCAAGAAAGCACTGTATCATTTATCTGGCGATTAGCTCTGCTGCAGCTTACGCCAAAGTGTCAATTTTAGGTATCAGAAGCTTTTTCATACTTAAATTTATATATATATATATATATATATATATATATATATATAGTGGGACAACATTATTTATAGGTTAGGCATAATACTCATATGCAAAATTTATGAGCACTGATTATCAAATTATGAATCCTTTATGGAGGGAAACAAAAAAAAACATGTGTGGCAAAGCTTTGATGGGTATTCAGAAACTTTTGGGCACTATGATGAATCATTTCAGAAAGCCTATATGTTTTCTATTTACCCCATTCTTTAGTTGACGAATGTCAGTGTTTTCAGTGGCCATCTTTAATTAGGGACATTACCAAGGAAGTGACAGTCTCAGCTAAAAATTAGTGTCATCTCTTTTCAATAAAAAAATGTATTTTTGATAGAATCAATATTTTAGTATCACAAAATTAGCTATAACAAAAAGTCATTGTAATAATAAATGGGGAACTCAGTAATTTCCTGAAGGTTTGTACACTAAGCAATTAACTCGAATTAACATAAAAGGATTTGCTGTAGCAATTAGTTGTCCAGGTGCAAAAGTGATGATAGGGTTGTAATCCTTGACTCAGTCACTGGCAGCTGACTTATTCGTCATTTCTTTTTATCAGAAAGCGAAAACAGAAACAGTGGAAACATTTTGCTAATGATAACCGTCTTGGTGCCCTGTCACCCTTTCGTAAATAGTCCTGTGACCACTTCCTTAGACACTTCTCAGAAAATTATTTATTTGAAATAATACAGTAGCTAGTTTTTATCTTTACAATCCTTCCGGCATGTTGTGATCTCAATGAACTGACTTTTTATTCTGAATAGTTTGAATGGTCAACCATGTCAGCTTAGCTTGGTTATCACATCAAGGTGGTTAGTGTCAAGGGGGAGATGCTTGCTGGTTTCGAATAAATATTCACTACCTAATACCAAATGTAAAACAAATCTTAATGACCAGAAACATCTTTTATTCATGACTTACCTGGTCTACCAAGTGTCAGACTTAATTGTGCTTCATCTAATTTACATTCTGACGAATGTAAGGAGCATATACACGGTTTACATCCCAACGGATCATTGGACATGTAACCATAATGACCAATTTTGCATCTAAAATGCAATACGCGAAGAGAACACGGATGTAAATAAGCTACACAATTAGAAAGTCTATTCAAGTCAATGATATTCACATAATTCCCATTCTTAAGAATTTACTAAGTAAACTTTATCCCAGAAAAAGATTAGGTATACGATAAGAGTCACTTGAATAACGTGTAAAAAAAAGGCTGTTTAAATCATATTAACCAAAAAGTTCATTTCCACCTGTCTCTATCAAAACTGAAACTGAATTTCGAATGAAAAGTATCCTAGTAGCAGATTTTTTGCTACATAAAGCTCAGTTGTTGATATCACATGGTTGGAGGTTATCATCAGTAAATTCAGGTCAATTTTTATTCGGGAAAAACTACACAGGATATTCATTTTCTTTTCTGGTTTAGTGCACTGAGCAAGGAAATTAAATAGACTTCCATCCCATTGGACATCGAACATAACCACAACTTGACTGGGATTTATAACTAACTGTGCGGAAAACTATATATGACTTTTAAAGCATAGTAATCGATGTTAACGTGATATGCTTACATAAGCTGACCAGTTTTTTGAAATCTGGAATATCGGAACACTGAAATTTTGTCATCTAGCTAAATAAAATCATGGGGACTTACTTTATGAAAGTCTTTGATCAAATAGCACTACACCACACAATTATCATTCCACATCAATTAAAAATCGTATCGACTGTTGTTCATAGGTGTATAGCTTTTACACAGTGCTGATAGTAGACAGAAAATTGATCAAGAATAATAGAGCAGCAAGCAGTTTTTCAACACAGATGTAGGGGATACTTCGAACACCAACACCTAGATATATCGAAAGAACGTCTTCACCCAAGATGAGTACATTATGAACGGATTTCCATCTGCAAACTGTTCCCCAATCAACAGATTTAACTAGATATTTTTAAATTTCATTTTATACTGCTTTTTGGGTTACCATATTTCGTATCATCAATGACTGAGGGTTAAAACCAGGTCACCAAATGATATACAGATTCTAAGGGGATATCTTAAATTTAGGCTCATTGAGTCTAAAGTCTGTGTTTCAATACTGAGTAATGTATAAATCATCATCAAAAGTTCCATGCACTTTTTCCTGGGTTGATGGTTTGATTAGTTTTTTTCAAACTGTCTTGTTGAGGAGTACGAATCCAGATATAGTGCTTGAACAAGATGACTTTCACTTATCAATTTCGTTCCTTTGTTATTCACAGTTTAGCCGTTAGCAATGCTCTAAGTGTTGTGAATGTTCGCAACGTCTTAGTTAAGTGAAAACGAGAAGAATCACTGAAGAGATAAACTTTTGTAACCAGTGAGAATATGGTAGAATAAACAAGTGGGTTGGTATTTCACATCAAGCATATAAAAGGTATCAGAAATCATGATTTTAACTATTTTGTGGAGCCGCCTGTCAGTTGACTTATAATCATAACTTTTAAAAACTGGCCAATGTGTTCAATACAGTCTCTGTCCACTCACTTCAAATCATGCAAGTGAGTAATATAATTAACCAATTCATAGTAGGTGTGGTTCATATTTCAAGCTGAGAACTAGTATAAGATAACTGAACTATACAGCCTTGATTATGTTACAGTGAGCAGAAATTAAGTGATGCATTAAAATTGAGTGGATGCAGCAATTGATGGGAATTAATGATTAGTTCCTGATTTGACAAAGTACTGATTTACTGAAGTCTATTTTTGGTTAAAATGACAAATTATTAAACAGTCTCCCAGACATGACTTACTTATCGCATTGTTTACCAGCCACATTCTGTTTACAAATACATTGACCACTTTGTGAATCACATGCTGGACGATTTTCATAACTTCCACCTTCATTACAGCTACACGGCCTAAGAAAAAAGTACAGAACACTTATCACTCTTCTTTACTAATTTATATATGAAGATATTATAATTGGGCCTGCTGCTAAAAAAAAGTTACCACCTTGACCTATCGATACCTGTAGAGTATATGAAGGCATTATGCGTAACAGTTTCTAAGGTAGAAAGTAAAAATAATGTAAACATATTTGTTTTGTATGGATAAGATATCAGAGAGTTAGCTTATTAGCGTGATTGCACTGTTTTAAAAGATGAGCATATCTTCGCAGTTTAAGTACAAAAATGATTCATCAACATTTCAATGTTTTGTTTGTGTATGGAGGTAACAGGTGTCTAGGCCTAACACAATTCGTTTTCCAGCCTTGATGTTTACACATGGACGAGAAATTCTTGTAACTGCTCTAGAAGAGAAGACCTACTACTCTTTATCCTTCTACTGATCTTGAGCGAAGAAGTAACATGATAGTGTGACAGGAAAATCTGAAAGTGTTTCACTTCATAAAGTTTGTTGAGTTTCAGACTAAATATGTTGGACCTGTTTTTCTGTTGTAACTTGATACATATCACATAATAATAGTTACGATTTACTGTGCCTTGAATAGCAGTACATTCCACTTCAATGTGTTTTTTCACCAGAAGTGCTCACCATCAATTGTCATTTGTTTTAATTGTTTTAACTGTGTTTTGAACAAAAGCCAGAAAGAATACTTAAATACGTTAACCGGTAATCTGATGACTGTCTCCTGATCTTGATTACATCTCTTCGTAAATTATCAGACGTTATAAAATAATCGAAACTTGTCCATTCACACGAAAAATCAAATAGAACAGTTAGGCTAGAAAACTGAGTCATCTAACTCCAGTGCATTATGCGAATAAAGTTAGTAATGTGAAGATAAGCTCAGAATCAACAATAAAATCATAAAACCTAACTTGGAAAGTGCTGCTTCAAAGTGTATGCAGTAATCCATCAAAATATAAGCAAGTCTTCTTTACGTTTTCCGTTTTTTTGTTCTTTCCTAAGGACTGATATACTCAAAGCATTAAATAAGGCTTCATGGAAGTTTTGAAAAAGGCAATAAGTTAAATCGTAAACAATACTAGGGTTAGTAAGGTTCAGTCTGTTGACAGATCCACTTGTCATAGCAACGTTATCGGCTCTTGTAAGGTGATCTTCAAGTTGTTAAGCTTTTCATCAATTAATTCTGCTTATGTAATTAGGAAAGTTTCTACTATTCAAGATATTTCAGTTATGAGTCACGCTAGCTAACCTTGCTTCATTAATCACTCATGAAGCATCATGATCATTGAAAACACTGAATGGTTAGTGTCAAAATCAAATCTTTTATTTGATTACAGTTAAGGGGATACTATACAGACTCAGTAGACTGCGACTTGAAACTATCAGTGTTTGTAAAAGTAAAGGATGTTTTGCATGCTTTAGGTCCAGTGTTTGTAGCTGTTGAGAGAAAGCTTGCCTTAAAGTACTTTCTGAGCTGAATGACTGCTTAAAATAGTATGTGTCAAACTTTATTGACTAAGTAGCATAACTTAATGTCAATCTATGGACCAAACATTTTAGCAGACTTTACGGCTGCAACAAAAGTTAGACCAAATATTCTTCTTAATTTAATTATCTCCATGTTATTTCTTTGCTTTGTTAGTAGAAACTTTCGAGATATGTTGTCATAATTCCTGCTAACTTCTTTGTATTTGGACATTCAGTCCTGACCAGCATGTCTCTACAAAGACAGCAATTAGCATCACTAACAGGAATATACAAACTAACTTGTGGAATCATTAAACAAAACCTACTCTTCTACAGTAAGGTCAACTTTTTAAAGAAAACCCATCTACTATCTACATATGAACAATAAAGATGTGAATTATTGGCTTAGTTCTTTTATCGGCTCGAAGAGAAACGACTTACGCCATGACGGTTTTTTTAGATCACATCAACAGCAGCCTTAAAATAACTTCAACAATGCTTCTTGAGATCATTAAAATGACTATGAGTATGAACTGCTTTAGTGGCCAGATTAGCTGTCTACATAACGTATAAGGCTTTCTGAGGTTTTAATTGATGCACTAAAGACTATCATTTATTCTATTTGTGATGAATACAGATGGTTGTAGATATGTAAGTGAATGTAGACGTATATATACATAACAGATTGTTAATTCTGTCTAGTATACAGGCTATTATGTACCTTCATTGTTACTAACATTAAATTACTAGTCAGAATAAATAAACAAAAATTGTATCAACTGCTGAAATGATTGTCGTTACAACAGCCAGGATTGTTAGCGGTTTGTGAGAAGTATAAAAGGTTTAATGTAGTATTTCGACTACAGACAGATGTAAATGTTTTCGTATAATCTATACAACAACTAAGTTTCGCTTTTTCCTAGTAACAGTAACTTCATGTTATTTTACTTAAAAAGTGGTTTTTTCTCATCCATTTGCTAACCTGATGTGTTTCCGATGAAAACTATCACAATATGAGATGGAATTGAACAAGACACTCATAACCCTCGGTTTGGAAATTTTATGACACTAATAACCCCTTGATTCGACAACTGGTAAAACATAACAATTTGAAGAAAGCAAATTTAGAGGGAGTTTAGCAAAACTCAACTTATAACTATCCAGTTAACAGGATTCGTCTTCATTTTAAAATTTTTTAACATTGACTTTAAAGTTGAAACACTGAGAACAATATACCTACGAAACTGAATGCAGGTTTACATGTCGTACTTAAAAGCTTGGTTAGGGTGATTTGCAACGATCCAGATTATGGTGGAGATCTGTTGAAAGTTTAGGAAATAATAGGACTTTCTGACGTCTTTCCTAATTAAATTTCTCGTGATTTCAGAATCAAAAATTTCATCCAACCAGTTTGGCCAATTGGAGCATTTTACCAATGGATTGAATAGTCTGTATTGGCTTTATAGTCACCACTGTATATCATTGATGAGGATTAGAGTTTCATCCGACTCTACTTAAAAACTGGTTCATGATGCATTATGGTCATTGCGATTTATTCATAGTAAGTTCCTGTTTGTCACTCGAATGAATTTTTGAACCTTAATTCTATGTATGAGTAAATCTCGATGTCCGTTGTCTATTGCTGGAGTTTTTTATCGGACGTTTTTACCTTTAGTTCCTTGCATGCATCGCATTTATGAAAAAGCCAAGCAAAAAGATGTTCTAAGGAGAAATATATGTGCAGAACTTTGTCCAAAAAGTTGTTCTTCTAAAATCTTTCCAGGTAGACTCCACATTCAGTGTGGTTTTAAACATAGTTAACGAATTTTAAGAAATCTTTCCCCCATTGCCGTCACCACCAGTTATGACAAGCAACACCAGAAAGTATCCATGGATTTTTCCGCCGATCCATTTATCTAAGATAAAATGCTGGCGGATTTATTCAACACTTCCCTCCATGAGGAAGTTTCGAAGATGAAGCTGTCGTAGATTACAGTGTTGTGTGGGTGCGATCTTCTCTGATAACGTTATGGAGGTAAAATTATTTCTGTAAAGTTTAAAGTTACGTTTACAACGATTAGGTAAATCATATCATCAGTTGAAGTGGTGAAGTTAGGTTTTATTTAAAACTCTGATATTTTGCGTAACTTGTGTTCTAAGAATTCCAGACAACCTTGAAACTGTTTGATAGGGTTAGATTTAAGGCAGTTACACCTAGTTTGTGAAACATGTTTCATTCGTTAGGCGACTAGGATAAAACTGGTAGAGGGTGGCTGATACAAGCGTGAATGATATAACATTCCTGCCATTTGGTGTCTATTGGAAAAAGATTATTTCAAAAGCTGTCTCTGAAGAAGAAGAGGAAGGGATTTTTCATCCAATGAATGCACATTTGTATGCTTGATAATCATTTGTGAATAACACTCTGCTACATAAAATATTGATTCAAGAATAGATACTATACTAGTCTTTATTTATCAGGAAAAACAAGTTCTTGTGTACAAAACGGATACGAAAAAACTTACTGACAACCACCGGCACTGAAACCAAAATGATCTTCTAAACAACGATCACAGCGTCTACCACCAACACCAGGTTTACATATGCATTGACCTTGTGCATTGCAATCAGTTTGACCATCCTCAGTACCCACTGGATCACATGAGCATGGTAAACAAGATGTTGGTTGTTTAGGATTAGGATAATGACCTGGTTTGCATTTTTCACAGTTTATACCTTCGGTATTATTTCCACAGTCAATACACCGACTTCCTGAACCAGTACTTCTGTATAATTCATATCGAATTCACATATGTGCGCATTTCCATTACACTTACAGGCTGATGCGAAGCAAAGGAGATAAATGAGTAAAATATAATTTAAGTGTAAAGGAATATTAAGGTCCGTTAAATTTGACCACTAATTTATCAAGAGTATGCATGAAGCATGTCTGTATATTCAGAATCCCTACTATTTGTTTCGGCTTGCCTCGAACACACTCAAGGATTGAAATGTTACACATACCATTCCTATATATTATTAACCCAATGGAATGAGGACGAATTATCGTCAATTTACGAA